GGTGGCTTTCTCTGGGTGATTACTGTAACGGGGACTTCAAGCTTAAGGACACATTCTAGAGAGAAATAGAATAAAATCTGACAGGATTAGCCTCCCCAAGACTGGTAGATTTTAGAGGAGCATCCTTTTGAGATGAAAGGTGCCTCTTCCCACATATCTTCCTCTTCTCTCTCTCTCTCTCTCTCTCTCTCTCTGTGTGTGTGTGTGTAGTGAGTGTACATGTGTGTGGAAATGTGGAGGACAGAGAACAGCCTCTTTTGTAACGAGAATGTGTTCCACCTTATTTGTTATTTATTTATTTATTTATTTATTTATTTATTTATTTATTTATTTATTTTGGAGACACAGTTTTTACTTGCCTGGAACTCACTGGTTTTGGCTGGGCCAGCAGGCTTGCAAGCTTCAGGAAACTTCCCATCTCTACCTCCTTAAGACCGAGATGACAAGCATGCACCCCTATGCCTCGCTTCTTCCTCTTCCTCCTCCCCCTCTTCTTCTTCTCAGCATGGATGGTGGGAATCCAACTCAGGACCTTGTGCTCGTGAGATGAGCGCTCTCCTGAGTGAGCCATCTCTCTGCCAAGGGTGTTGCCCTTGTCTCCTCCACCTGTCACGTGATGGGGAGCCTGCTAAATCCCCACGGCCATCCATATCATGCCTCCTCCGCCGGGAAGGCGTGGCTTCAAGTCTTTGCCTGTGGTGATGCTACTTCGTCTTAGCTGTGTGTCCCTGGAGAGCTTCGAATTTAGACGTTTTTGGGTTATTTGCATGTGGTCCTACACCTGACAGAAATATCCTAGCAGGCTGGAGAGGGGTGACACTTGCCACCTGACTCTAAACTTGTATTCCATGTTGGAATACATCCTTTAAGGTATCCACACATGTGTGTGCTTCCAGGCTTCACACGCATGGCTTTGGAATAGCCTATCCTTACTCTTATGTATTTATTTATTTATTTATTTATTTATTTATTTATTTATTTATTTATTTATTTACTCTATTTGTCGTTTACATCGTGTATCTTGAACCCATTCATTTCCCCGTCTCTTCAAATCCACCCTCTGGCCCTGTGGACCCCCCAAATAAAACAAACTTTAAGAGAAAAAAATAAAAGGAAAAAATAAAAAGGGAAAAACTTAAAAAAATCTTGCCTTGGAAGCTGCACTGTGATACTGTGAGTCACGGCGTGAACCCCTTTGTCCACATATCTCTAACTTGCAAGTGTTCATTGCAAAGAGTCATTGGTCTGGTTTGAGGTCTCTGGCTTCTACTACCCTATCAATGCTGGGTGCTTGCTTGGGCTCCTCCTGAATTTCCTGTTTTTGGCCTGTGTTGTGGAGATCCTGCTGCTTTGGGTCTGCAGGTCAGGTCCCTTCATGTGCTCCAGCAGATCATAGATGGGGTGGGCCCAGTCATATCCTTCGGTCTGGACCTGGGCAGCTGTAGAATTGGTCTGCCAGATGTGAAATGGGGACTGCTCTCCCATGCTTACAACTTGAGAGCTGGCTCACCGACACTTTCACTAACAGGGTTGGCTCTCCCACTCTTATGATCACAGGGTCAGCTCTCCCACCTGCCCCAGATGTTGATGGGAGGGGGAAGGCAACTCTCTCCTGCCCATGCCACCACAAGATAGATGGGAAGTGGTGACAGCTCTTTCATGCTCACAATTTTGGGGCTGGCTCACTACCATGCTTACTCTTGAGGTGGTGTCCAGTGTGTTCGCGGACATGAAATAACACTTTGGTGGATGTGCGGTTGGTTTTGACATGCCTATATTTGGGAAAGTTCCCAGGAGCCTCTCCACATAGAAAGGCTCTAGACCAGATCTTTGTTTGTTCCCAAGACTCAGTCTGGTGGTCCGTGAACCTCCATAGGGTGTCTACTTGAAGAGAGAGGAGACCTAGGTTTCTCATCTGCATAGGGGGATGATGTAGAGGGAAAGAGGCCTGACAAGGAGAGGGCTGAAGAGGCAGGGACCTGGCAAAAAAGCCCGGGATCTCAGGTCTGCTCCCTTGGCTCTGTCTGCAGACCTTCTGATCCCTCCAGCCTGGGTGCATCTCTCATCTTTCTCCTCCCCAGTGCCTAGTCGAATCACTCTCCTGTCTTCACGTTGCTCAAATCAAAGTCCTACTTGATGTTTGACCTGAAAACAGATCTAGGCCTCCTTCCTACATCTAAACTACTCTCTTTCCTCCTTCCTGTCTGACGTCTCCATACACCAGACAGACCTCCAACATGCCAAGACATTCTCACTTAATGGTTTTCAATTTTTTTTTTTTTGCCTCCAAGCAAAGTCACAATGCATCATCTAAAATAGACCTAAATATGGGAACTGCTGTGAGTGAAGTTGGAGTAGGAGGCCTTTCCTTCCTGCCTGGAATGTTCTAGAATGTTCTAGAACGTTCTAGAACTCTTTGCAAAAAAAAAAAAAAAGGTGATTGAATCAATGTCAAGTCAATTAGATGGAGAAGCTACTGCTCAAAAAGGACAGTGGCCATCCTGGCTGGGAAGGGGGTAGAGTTGGGACTCAAGATTCATTGTGTTTTATGTAAGAGTCGGAAGGAGCTGCAGATGACTGCATGCTGAGAGCATGTGGCGGGAAGGCACACCCTCTGAGGAAGCCAGGCTTGGGAACTGTGTGGCCTCAGGTGAGTATGTCTCTGGACCTCAGTGGTCAGCTGTGGGAGTCAAGTGTGGCATGGGAGCCCAGCATGTAGAGAGGGTTCAAGAAATCTCAGTTTCCCCATGGTTGGTGCACCCAGGGGAGGGCAGGAGAAATAATATTTTAGCTCCTGGGCTCTGGAATGGTTAATCTTGATTCTCGATTTGGTGAGATTTAGAACCACCAAGGAAAAAAGACCTCGAGGTATGTCTGTGAGGGGCTTTCTAGATGGAGTTAACGAAGGTGGGAAGACCCACACTGAAGGTGGGGCAGCACCATTCCGTGGTCTGGGGTCCCAGACTGAGCACAAAGGAGGAAGTGGTGGATGACTCATCTTCATTTGCTTCCTGACTATGGCTGCAAGGTGATCAGATGCCTCAGGTTCTTGTGGCCATGTTAATCCCCACCCTTCTACCACAAGGGGCTGAATTCTCGAACTGTGAGTCAAAACAGACCTTTGCTTCCTCAAGGTGCTTTTGCTTGGTATCTAGAACAATATTTATTTTTGTTTTATGAGTATCGGTGTTTGGCCAACACGTATGTCTGCATAATGCCCAAGGAAGCCAGAAAGTGTGTTTTTTGAGACAATCTCATGTGTACTAGAATGGCCTCCAACTCACTGTGTAGGAGAAGATGAGCTCACATCCTGGTCCTCCTGTCTCTGCCTCCTAATGGCTGGCATTAGAGACTCCAGCCACCAGGTTCGGTTTGTGTGGTGCTGCTGCGAATGGAACCCAGGGCCTTGTGCATGCCAGGTGAGCACTGCCAATTGAACCGCACCCCCACCACCAGCCCTTGGAAGCCCGATTCTTGTCTGCTGTGCTGGTTTTACATTTTCTCCACACCTTACAAGTTCTCATCGGTAAAAGCAAGGTCATGGTACTTGGCTACATCCAATTTCTTGTAGCTATCATGTATGTACCTTAGATCCAAGGCATGGCACCCACCAGAGCTCTGCAAGCTTTTGGTACCAAAGACTCTCCAGGCATCTTCAGGCATCTCCTGGCTCACTGCATCATGGTTCAGATAAGAAAGAGGCTTGCCTGGATCTTCCTCTATGTTCCTCCTCCTCTTCCTTTCTTCCTTCCTTTCTTCCTTCCTTTCTTCCTTCCTTTCTTCCTTCCTTTCTTCCTTTCTTCCTTTCTTCCTTTCTTCCTTTCTTCCTTTCTTCCTTCCTTCCTTCCTTCCTTCCTTCCTTCCTTCCTTCCTTCCTTCCTTCCTTCCT